ACTTCCACTTGACACGATCTCCCACATCCTCTACGCTCACATTAGATGTCCTTATATCGCATTCAATAAAATCTCTCCATCACTTTTTTGGTCTTCCTCTAGCTCTTCTTCCTTCAACATTCATTTCTACAACTGTTCTTACGGCTTCCAATTCTTCTCTTCTCATAACATGACCAAATCATCTAAGTCTATTTCCTCTCATCTTATCCACGATTGACGCTGCACCTATACTCCCTCTTATATGCTCGTTCCTTATCCTATCTTCTCTAGTTATTCCACTCGTCCATCTAAGCATTCTCATCTTTGCTACACTCATTCTCTGCTCTATTTTCTTATCAACTGCCCAACACTCTGAACCATTCATCATAGCTGGTCTCACTACAGTATTGTAGAATTTACCTTACAGTCTCATTGGAAATCTTTTATCGCAAAAGACATCAGACGCTTCTCTCCACTTCAACCATTTAATCCGGTGCCATACATCCTCGTCAATAGCACCGCTCTTTTGCACAACTGATACTAAATACTTAAAACTTTCCACCTCTCCAATCACGTTCTCGCCTATTGTCACTGGTCTCATTTCACCTACCTCATGTTCTCCTTTATCAAACTCGTACTCTATATACTCTATCTTACTCCTATAGAACTTAACTATGGTAGAGAAATTGTGTTCAGTGTATTTTTTTGCTTTGTGTGATCCATCTGAAATCAAATATATTATCCGTCAAGTATTTAGAAATACAAAGTTAGTAATACTTTACATAGATGAAGGTCAAAAATCTCCAATACTACATATTATTCCTATGATTGATAAATTTATAATCTTAAAACATTTTATTATAATAATTACAAAAAAACTATATTTAATTATATTTTATAATATTAACATTTTTTTTAATTGTGTAATATAGAAATTATTCCAGTAGCAGTTAATTTAGGCTAACGCTAAATCACACGATCGATGTTGATTAAAAATGGGTGAATAAAAAGTACTAAGTTGATTGATTGGCCAACATTTGAAATTGTTTTTTAAGAACTATCTACAAACTATTAAAAAATTTACTCTTAAAAAGAATGAAAGTAGATGGCATATATACGGTGATTCAAGAATATAATTTCAAACCACAGCTGACATAAGTATTGCAATAATAGGGTTGGAAGTGCGTTTAATTATAGTCTATTGTGGTTTTTTTTAGCGATAACGAATCTTGAATTCAGGCGACACAAGCCGTCGGGTTTTATACTTATCGTGACTTGAAATCGACTGGGCCGTCTTATGAATGAGACTTAGTTTGTAGTGTCGTGAGTACGCGCTGAGTAAAAAATGTATTACTGGGGTTTAGGTGACACCGCTGCAGGCGCCACGAGTCCACCCACACCTCGTCTATTATGAACAGGACACAAACAAGACGTATCGGCACGTCTCCAATCGAACTGGGGTTTATTTTCATGCAGACAATACAATAAATTATTCACAATAGACACCTTTTCCAATCGTCACCTTTGTACCGAATAAACATGCGTCACACTAAATAATTAAAAAGTTATCTACTGTTAGATTTTAAACAAAAATACTATTATATTTAATAATTGAAAACACGTGTGAATTAACGATAGGATAACTGTACATCATAATTAATCGAATCAGCATAGTGAATGTAATCTTATTTCTATTTGATGAACAATATTTATTTAGTTGATTAGTTTCTAAGAATTCCTAGTTGAGAATTTTCGTTTTTATTTTTTAAGATATTTTACCACGGCATTCGAATTAATGAATAATTTGTAGTGATGGAGAAGTAAATACTTTCGCATATCAATCATATTACAAATCAATTTGGCAAATTCGTGGAATATTGAAAAAATTATCAATATTTTGATTTGCACTAGTGATTTTATTATTTCATATCTGTATTGGTAAAATTCCTCAATAAATCCTAGTTACTCTGTAAGACGACTTTGTAAAAAAAAAATGCTCACCTCATTGTGTAAGATGATTGAAAATGACCACTAACATTTTGTATATTTATTAATGTGTTGATGCTGAATAAATGTGTAGGAACTGCCCAAAATAGAAATATTGGTGTTTATTATTGTGTTCTACATAGTAGTGTCGTTATAAAAAATAGGAAATTGTACATGATAGGCTGTCGCCGCTTGTATACGATGCGAGTCTATCATATACAATTTTCGAACGTCTGTATGGACGGCGAACGCTTATTTTTTTAGATAACTGCATATTCGTGTAAGTTATCTAAATTATTGCCTATATCAGTACGTCTATAGGTATATTTCGTGTTGTTTTTTAAATTATATAATTTTTGGAACACGTATATCTCGTGTAAGTACAAACATGGCGGCGGCACATCAAAGAGACGTTATCTGTTCTCTGAACGGGTTTCGTTCGTTTAAGACTCCGCCCCAGAGGGACGTACCGACGTACGGCCAATAGAACGACCGCAACTGCACACACATGTACACGATTTTCTACGTGTATAGTAATATAATAGTACACACAAACGACCGAGTCGAACGCCTCTTCAAAAAGTATATATAAAAAAAAAAAAATCTAAAATACAACCGACAGTCACAATAAAACTATTGAGGAACGAAGCGTCTATACAAAATCGAATATACATGAATATATATTCAATAACCGCGTTTTAGCTGTCGTTCTTTATTACATTTTTTTTTTTTTTTTGTTAAGCGACGTAAAATATTCATAATATTCATGACGAAAAAAATATAACATAATTCACGTCACATTTTTTGTTGCCGAAAAAGAATTTATTTCAGAGGATTAGTAATACTTCCCAAAGATCATCGTACCTATTTGCAAAAAATAATTCAGTAGTGCGATGACATCCAAGACACGTGCATATTATTAATATAAGGAGTAGTGTTGAATAATTTTCATAATCTTATGTATAAATACATATACACAAAAATGACGTATTGACTAATGTTGAGGACTTTTGTGAAACATTGTCGACCCTCTGAGTACAAAAATAATTTTCAACCCATTTAATGTATTTTTATATTACATAAAAGTGCTCGCATTCGAATAATAATGCTATCAGACAGATAATTTGTAGCAAATAGTACGAGTATGAAATACTTGGAGATTACTACACTCAATCGACAACAATAGTTAAGATAATTTTTTTCCGTTGAAATGTTCTTTTTGTCTAGCACTAAGTTGTTTGTTTTAAAAATAGATTTTATTTAAAATTAGATATCCTTTTGATTGATATTTCAGAAAGACGGCGGCTGAGTCTATGCGTGGGCTGTGGTGGTGCCATAAATGACCAATACATTCTCAAAGTGGCTCCCGACTTAGAATGGCACGCAGCGTGTCTAAAGTGTGCCGAGTGCCATCAGTTTTTGGACGAACATTGTACCTGTTTCGTTAGAGATGGGAAAACCTATTGTAAATTAGATTATGTCAGGTAATAAATAAATTAAAATCGCATTAAGTAAACTATTTATTCAGAACTACATTAGACGAACACGGCAAGCTGACAACGTGTAGGCTTTCAATTTTATGACAAATTAAAACAGTGTATTATATTGTACTGTCTAATAGATTTATAAACGAGATACCATATAAAATACATAGTAAAAACGCTTGTACCTTGTGTTTGATTATGCTAACGTAGTTGCGAAATCGCTCAATAACTAATATTACCTAGTGTCGAGCTGTGCCGCGTTAATACGCCATACTAATACCTGCAGGTGTCCACAACTTGAAATGTTTTTTTTTTTTTTTAATTTGACCTACAACTCCTATTAACACGTATCAATCATGAACATAATGAACAACTCATATTTTTGGTCACAAGTTGCCGTTTTATATTTCTTCATCTTTTTCGTGGAATCATTAACATTCTAATTCTGTAATCATCAAATAATCAAATAATTAAATGATCAAGAAAATTGTCCTTAATATACCAAATATTAAGTAAAATTATTATGGACAGAACAAACCCTTTATTACTTGAAAACATTTGTATCTTCAACTAAAATTGTTGAATTTCTTGAATGTAATACAAAAATATCTAGACTTATAATTTATACAGATGATATTTTTATGATTTATTTAAGAAATTGTTTTAACGATTCTTTTTTGTTAATGATTGCAACAACAGTATATAAAAAGTTTTAGTAAAATTTCGTTGGATGAACATCAATCTTGGGTAATTTCTGAGTCGGCTTTTGTATACACACTAAGCCGAGGTCATTTGATCCTTTTTTTTTTCATGATTACATTATAAATTTTGACGAACGTCAAATGCATCTGCACGTCTCTTGTTTTCGAATGCCAGCCGATGTTTACACGGTACTCATACCCAATGTCCCTTTAAGTAAATAAATCGGCTTCGAAACGTTCCATAACAGATGACAATGTGTCAATAGAAGAGCGTCCTATTATTTCGGAGGGTCGCACACGAATACCACTAAACTTTGGAGTCGTCGTTATATCGCTTCGCTTGTTTAATAATAATTCACACATTTCGTAAAATAAAAGTATTTACATCAATATTTGCCATCCAACGCCGAAAATTGTTTGATAGTAACATCAAAATGAAAGACCAAATTACTATTATTACCTTCGTTTACAATTTTATCTGTCTTTCACTGATTGAAGTCTAAACTATTTTCACAGATTTTGAAATGTACATCAATCATAGCAATAATAAATGTTAGAAGGTTTTGGTTTATTTACGAGATCTAGAATATGTGTTTATATAAGGCGGTTGTAATGTAAATAAGGTAGTTGATTTTTATGACGAGAAGAACGTGCGTGCGCCCGGTAGCTGAACATATGTCGGACTTAGAAATGAGATGCGCTTATGGTGTTATAGTTATGCGGTAGACATCCAGAGCGGTGTTTAATTTACAATGTTTTGAACCGCGCTAATTGTGGGATGACATGTTGTTTATAAAATATTTTTAAAATCGCCTCGTTATGGGTGGCCCTCGGTAATATCCGATGGCTTTGAGTGTTTCTCGTCTAAGCACTTGTCATCGGTTCAAGCTTCTTATTTTCGCTCATTTTTTTTTTCTCTTGAAAAAACAATTTTTAAATATATATATATTTATACTTGCTTGCACACCAAAGAGCCTGTTAAGAACTAAAGTAAACTGTGACAAATATTTTGAATCCGCTAAAATTTTACCAGAAGAATGTTTCAAATGAATTAATTTTAAATCAATTTATTTCATTATTCAAAATAATGTGCTTGCAATATATTTCTTTAAAAATGTATTATTATTATTATAGATTATTTGGTACTAAATGTGATAAGTGCAACCTGAGCTTTGACCGAACGGATTATGTAATGAGGGCAAAGACTAAAGTTTACCACATGGAGTGCTTTAGGTGCAATGTATGCAGCAGGCAACTTAATGTAGGCGAAGAGTTTGCGTTAAGAGATGGTACTTTGCTGTGTAAAGACGACCACAGTCATCATCCGATCATAAACGGTGCCAAAAGCAAAATTGCTGCTCAACTGCAAAGCAATGAAAATAACAACAACAACACAGCATTGGCCGACCACAACACCAGCAGTACCAATTCCCTACATCACAACGAAGGGTCGAATTCTGGTAAGTCATTTTCAACATCAATTTATGTTATTAAATTATAAAAACACATTACCAAAAACGTAATCGAATAATTCTATTAGTTGTTATTTATCTCGCAGATTTGCGTTGATAACATTGATAAATACCGCCTGCAGTACTGTTTTAAGGAATATATTTTCTCCGTAAAAATTGACGAGCAAAAAAAAAAGGTCTTTTTCATTGAAAACATATCTCGGCAGTCTAGTAAAATTCAAAATAGGCCGCTCAAATCTTGGGCTCCGGGGCGCTCGCATCCCTAGCTACCCCCCTTAATCCGGTCCTGACTACCCTGATACTTTTTTGAAAATGCATTACCTCCAAAAAAACCATTTCACAAAACTAACTATAGACAAGATTCGCGCTTATAAATCATACTGTGACATCTGCTTTATATTTTCTTTATGAAAAATGAAAGAAATCGGATATTTTGAACGGCTAGGTTGTTTGACCGGTATGCGTTAGTTCAAAAGAGTTTTACCTTTTGTGTACACACGACGTAATGCAAACAAACTTTAGTCAAAGTGTAAGGGTGGAAACGATGCGGTTCAGACACACGAGGGAAAAACAGCGGGTTGGCAGTCGAATGACGACAGAGTCATTAGCCTAATGGAAACCGAACGAGGCTACATGAAGCATGTCCACCCTTAATCTCGGCGTGCTTTCCCCTGCTTTTACGTGATGTGTAGTATATGCATAAAATCATACCTATAGGCATTACATTATTTTGTTGTCAATATATCGACAGTAATAATCTTCTACGCTTTACCGTCATTTTCGGTTGTAAACGGTTGCTAAACAAAACTAAACGTCTAAAGCAACATTTTGTTCAACAAATGTCCACTTGATAGCTGTTATTACTATAAATTAGTAACTATATCAAGCAACATAGCAATATTTTTTTTAAATGGTATCGCATGAATTAAAATCTCATATTTTTAATTTTCAACTTTTAAAAGTATTTTATTTGAAAAAAATTATCTATTTCATTATCTTCACGAGATAACGTTTTTATCATCTAATGTCGAGAACTGCACACAATTTCCAATTGAAATAGAAAAGTTTAAAGGATAAACTATTGTGTAACGAACAATCAGTTTACTTTTTAAAGTATTGTTTAACTAAGCAATACGTGTTTTATTTGCGTCAACTGTAAAAGACTTGCAACACTTAATCATCTATATATAAACAATTTTTTGAGCTTAAAAAATAATACAAACATTCTTAATTCCCAAAGCGTGCACCAATCACCTGCAACGAACTTTGCAACGGGGGGATCCGAAAATGTTCCCTCAAAGCATCGTATCCGTACATAATAAAATATCGATTACGCGTCAACGGACTCGAAAAAACTGAGGGTGGTAGTTTTCGGGGTAAGTTTAATCACGTTAAAAGCGTTTTCAGATGGTTCTTAAGGGTAGTGGTGGGCAGAAGTCGTTTTGTGTGTCGGTCGGCACACCAATCCCTCGACGACCCCGCGGCGGCGGACACACACGCGCGTTAAACGAACCCTATTTACCAAACAAACCCCATTCAGCTCCGTGTTCCAAACTGTTCACCGATGTTTAGCGTTAACTTCTCTTTTCTACACACACATATACTCACATCAGCTGTAATACATATCTGGAGGGCCTAATGAAATTAGTATAGTAAATTAAGTTAGTCTCCGTGATCCCTAAATAACTATATTCACTTGTATTTTTCATGTTTAATAATCGTTTTTGGTCTGACTTTTGGGGAAATTAACTCGATTATAGTTACCAATTCTAAATCGTTCACGATGACTTGTACGAAATCTTACTTTCAACCAATTTTTAGGCAAATAAACTACACTTCTATTTCGGCGACACTTGTGTGCAAGACAACATTTTTTTACCAAATCATTCCTACGAACAATAAATAAAGCTATAGTAAAAATTCTTACAAAGACATGATACCTACGTGGAAGTATTTTTTACGATTTTTTCAAAAAAATTAATTCCGTCTCTCGTCTCTCTATTCGTACAAGTTTGTAAATTGGGTTAAGAATAATTCTTAGTGGCGTGGTGAGACGCGTCTTAGTGTCTTTTGTAATACTCCCATGTAATTCGATACAAATAAAATAATCCTATTTGCAAATCATCAACTATATGGCAAAACATGTCGTAATGATGTATGATCTCAACATCTGTAAACTAATACGATGTTTTATTGAATATTGTTATATGGAAGTATATATTTTAAGTTGATTCGCCTGTATATATCATAGTCAGTATGAGTTCGGTTTTTATGCAGTCGTCGGCAATGTATTATCGAGAAATAAAATTACACTTCTTATCCAGAAACCTTATTCTGTCGCGCTGTGAAATTTTTTCCTTTTTTATTTATTTCGAGTCATAATAAATGTACCTAATACAAGCAAGAAAACATTATGCAAGAGATTACAATTCATAATAAATGGCTCATTTAAACCCCAACGACCCATCGCTGTTATTCCCATTAATGCCTTGACGCAGTCATTAAAGTAATATTTATGGTGGTTCGCCACTCGAAAGGGACGAGTAAAAAATGAAAAACTCAAGGTTTACACTAAACATAAAAAGCCAGCTATATTTTACCTAAAGAGAAAACTATGTTAAAACATAGAAAACGCACACATTTTTATTATCATTTCATGGAAAACGTCTTCTCCGGTGTTGTTTTTTACAGCGCTTTCGGTGAGTATTTCAATGGTAAAAAATAAGCCCCCTTACTAACGCCTGAATTTCATAGTATAACGCCGATACTCGAATTGTTCGCAATCACGTGGGGTGGGAATACTATTTTGAAATTACATGTGAGAGTATTATGTTCGATTTTAGACTGTTAGGGATACACGCGCAGTATGTTGTAATTTAATAATAAAACCGTCACGTGGCCCTGTCGACGTTTTTTGCGTCGTCAGTGCCGGAACGCCGGTTTTCAAATACGAACCGTTCCGGGCGCAAAGACACCACTCAATTCGGTCGACAACCCTCAATTATTCGCCTTATTTTATTTTTATATCATTTCGAGCCCACCCCCGCGCGCTGCTCATAACCGCAACAACACTCCAAGCCGACAGCGCCATCTATATTGTTATTGTTATTAGCATAATCATTCATTACTTAAACCGAACGCGCCTTGTCCGTACACTGCTGAGAAATTCAAAACGTTTCCGGGTGACACGACGGGGACTCGTATAATTTATACATGCACGTCAAGTCAATTCCCCTGAGCGGACGGGACACCGAGAAGCGAAATCGTTTCCCCGGAGACTCAAACATGAATAGAAAACACATACCACAGTAGCGGTTATTCACTTTTCGCATACTGAATGCGGTCGAACGCGATGATTTTCAGTTAGCCTCCTGACGACCACTCGGTGGGTGGAGTACTAACAACAATACAGCCTCTATTTACTACACACATAAAATATCAACCTACGAAACTAATGTTCGAGCAGGCCAATAATTATTAATTCCGATGATTAACTTTTAATATGCGTAAATGATATAATTGAATAGAACTAAATGTTGTTTCGTAATTATTAGGCGGAATATTCCGAAACTTTTAACTGCACTACGCCCACTTATAAATAATAGCTTTTGGCTATAACAAAAATTAATTTTTCACTTGTATACCAACGTCGGAATATTAAATTTTTAACTACTCTATAATTATTCTTCAACGCACTAGTTGACCAGTCATCAGTAAACGCGCACACTATAGAAACAGAAAAGTATTCAAAAAATCGTAAATATATAAATAAATGAAAATAACACGAATACCTTTGGGAGTGTCTAGACAATTTATCGTGGGTGCGGCGAAGAGGTGTAAAATATTTAACTAAAATTACGGATAAATGGTTTTACGTATACATGTATATATATATATATATACATATATTATGGAAGCAAACAAGTGAAGGGCAAAAATACTCCAGTACTATTTTTAAAGATTTAAAAAATAAAGCTCTCTCACAACTCACTCTTGCAAAATACTTGTTTGCCACTATATGCACTCAGCATAATATACCTATATACATTTTTCCCTGTAGGCTAAATCCCCAGATTTATTTTTTAGTCTTAGTGAATACCGTAAGTAAAAAAGGAAAAGAGCTTTTAAAGACTTTCTTTTTCAAAAAAATAAAATAAATAAAAGCTCCAAGGAAAGCGTAAAAAAGTGCTAACTTCTTAACCCGTTTATAAATTACTTCACTAAACAAAATCCGAATTTGTTTATACATAAAAGTTTTACGATGTCTCCTGTAGAATTTATTAAATATTTTTAATAGAGTTATTAAATTCTACTAGTACTAGCAGAATTTATTGATAGACTCGAGTCTATTAGCACTTATACTATTATACATTTTGAAACACAAAGCCGTTTTACTTTTTCATTTGAACAATGGATCATATTTTCGTAGATGTCGTGTCCCTTTATATTTTCATTCATTCCCACTTCGTTCGTAATGTAAATTAAATTTTTTCAAGCATTGAGACATTGGATTTTTTTCTATCACTGACGTTGTGCGTTCATAGGTTTGTGTACACGCACACACACACTAACACTCGTGTCACGTAAAACAGAACGAGATGAAATACGAAACGAATATTTTCGCAGCTGTCGTGGGTGATTTTTTTTCCGCCACAGCTAAATTGTAAGTGTTCGCGTTGGTAGCGGCGGTGGCGGCGGCGGCGGATAGGGTTATCAAGAAGCGGACTGAATATAAGGGATCATGGGAACTGGACCACTTGTGTGGCCTTCCCTGCATGTTTACATTTCAGCACCCTGCAGTATTTTTTTCACTTCCGAAAATCCCGGCATAAATCTCCGTCTCCTATTGAATCCTGCTCAACACCCTCCATTAAAACGACTACTTAACCCGACCAATCATCCACAAGTCTGCGCTTAATCAATTCACCCGAAACCTATTCTTCGCGTCATTAACAATGACAACTTTTGTCACGTTCAAAACTATGACCTTATTATGTTGATGTTTTTACTGTTTTGACGTTCGATGACATTAAATAGCTTAAATTTCATTTATTTTTCACGATAACATCTAAACAATATCTGAATAATAAAGTAATCGAAACTATTTCATAGACGAGAAAATAAATTCTAGCCGATTCATAATATGCGATCTATTTTTACAGATTCATCGGAGTCGGGATCGAATAAATGTTCCGGTCGAACCGGATCTGATGGCCCGGGCAACAGTCGGCTGGGTTCGGCTGGCAAAGGCTCGTCCGACGGTAAACCTACTCGAGTCCGGACGGTACTCAACGAAAAACAGTTGCACACATTACGGACGTGCTATTCAGCGAACCCTAGGCCAGATGCGCTCATGAAAGAACAACTAGTCGAAATGACCGGACTCAGTCCTAGGGTCATAAGGGTGTGGTTCCAAAACAAACGGTGCAAGGACAAGAAGCGTGCCATCGCCTTAAAACAGCAAATCCAACAAGACAAGGTACGTTTTACCTTCGTATTATTTTACACGTTGATAGTGTGCACACCCGGCATAACATTAGTCGCCTAAACTGTTGAGCGCGTTAAGGCTTCATTTGACTTTATTTACAATAATATCAATGAAACTCGACAGTTCCGTTATTAGGTGCGCGGATTCGCGTCGTCTCGTGCAGTGCGATTGGAAAGTTACATTGCATTCTAAAAGTTTTGTTGATGATTTAAAAAAACAACCGCGAGCGTTGGTTTTTTGTATTGTAATGATGATAATGGACCGAGCGTCCGTGTAAAAAACAATCCCGGAGTTTCCATTTAGCGGACATATGGAAAACCGGTTGTGCGGCGACCACCGGGGCCTTCCGATTACACCGTAAACGTGTCGCCATCGAGTCGCCCGTTTGGCGCCGGTCGCGGCCACCGAAGAACACAGTGTTTTCCTCGACCGAGTGACGATATTTCCCCTCGGACGACGCCAGTCTGTCGTGTTCTTTACATTATGCGTTTGTCTCAAATGAACACATGCCTCGTGTAGGGTTAATTTAATTAATAAATTACACCGGCACCATTACAACATACGCCAGTGTCTGCGTGTCCGACTCTGATATCTATAGGTATGCCAACAGTATGGGCCACCGCGGTCCGGCAAAAGAGTTGCCGCGTCCGACGGTGTCGCGGCACGAGATCATACGGTTGTTTATGCAGACAAAAAAAAATAAAGAGGAAAATAAATTCATTACACTTTTTATTCGTTGTTTGTGGCAACGGTAAAAACGTATTTCGTATGGTTTTTTTTATTAAATATACGACAATTTTAGAACGACCTCGCGCGTAAATGCTTTTATGTTTTCGTAATAATAATCGCATTTTTTATTGAATTTCGTTCGTTGAGACTCTCCAACCGATTATTCTTTGACACGTTCGTTTCTTAAAATACCTCCAAGTATTAATTTTCAAAACGTCAATTAAAGTTATGGACAGCTTGTTGACAGTGTGCCAACGACTTGGGCGGTGTGCTTTTTTTTCTCATTCTCAAACCGATAATTTTGACACGATATTATTAAAACTATTTTTTGTCTTCCGTTTCAACACTGCATATGCGCATACGTAAATAACTCACGTCGACCGTTTGTCGCCGATCAATATTTTTAACCCTTTTAAGTAGATCTGTATGCACGATAGTTTGTAAACAAAAACTTGTACTCCTGTTTTTTTTTTTTATTAATTATTTCTTTTGCTTTGTTGTTATTTGGATAGATGAGTAATGGGAATTATTTTACCCGGACTTACGTTTGTTTTGATGTTTCTGAAAGATCTTTATTGTTTTTAGGACGGTAGAAAAATGGGTTACGGCAGTATGCAGGGTATACCGATGGTAGCGTCTAGTCCGGTCCGACACGATAGCCCGTTGGGCATGAACCAAATAGAAGTGCAGAGTTTCCAGCCACCATGGAAAGCGCTGTCCGAGTTCGCGCTACACTCGGACCTTGATCGAGTGGATACCAACCAACCTCACTTCCAACAGCTCGTTAATCAGGTATTAACTCGAAAAAAATACTTAAAACGACATTATCGTGTAAAGGTATCGTTAAAAAGTAAAATTCGGCGCTATACTCTAAATACGCGCGGTGGTAATCTTCTTTGCTCTTCGATTGAGGTGGCTAGTGAATGGAAAATAATTTGTTTCTACAAAATACACATGAATAGTGGTGACGTGCTGCAGCCGAATAAAAAATAATTATCATCTGTAATCTCTATATTTCTATTCGGTCCGATAGCTGTCATAAACCCTGTTTCTTTCTTAATATTAGTATGTATGTAAGACTAGGTAGTAAGTAGCGCCGTGATGCCCGACAAGGATAATCCCCAACAAAGTGTTGGAACGCCGAGTAACTGTATCCCGTACACGACTATATGCATGCGCTCCGAGCTGTCGACTTATCGAGGATTACACTATCCACGGTCTGTATTTATTATGTTTACTATGTTTTTTGTACGGTCCACCGGGTGATGTCATATGACAACCTCGTCCGCTACCTATTACACGAATACAACACATGATAATTATATACGAAAAATCGAGTTGCGTCGATCATTAAAATATTCGGAATTATTTCAGAGACCCTATTGGAATGGCTCGTGCGTTTAAAAGATTAAAAACCACGCGGGTTTTTTTATTTTGCTCTAATCAAAGCAATGCGTCAAACGCCCGCACACTCTACCCGTCAATTCTGTTCCAAAGAATTACCTACAAAATGACTATTTCCTAATATTTTTTACCGGCCATTTGCTTAGAATTACTCATTGTTATTAAGCAGTTGGTTCCCTCGATCGTCAAATGTCTTTGAATTGTGTTAATTCCAAGTCAACTAACGTTTACCCGTTTGTTCTTTGCGCAGATGCATGGTTACGACATACACGGTCCACCACCACCAATGACCAGGTTAGACATTGATCCGGGTCCGGTGGACATGATGCATCCAGATTCCACTGACTCTTTCGTCACGTACCTAGAAAGCGACGACAGTCTCCACAACGACACGTCGAGTCCGTAAAATAGGTAAGGCACCACAAATAATAAAACATTACCACAGTAATTACATAACAGGCGACGTATTAAGCGACTTGTTTTTTTGTGTTTCAGGTGTACATCAAACCTAAATACTAGAAGAAATCTCTTTATTATTTTGTATTTGTTATCCGTCTTTTTCTTGTATGTTATTCTATGACTTTACTTTTCTCTTCCATTGTGGTCCCGTGAATTCACAATATATCCGCGTACCTATGTTGTCTTTAATAATTATATAAATTATTGACATTAATAATCACGAGCAGCCCAAAGCCGAACGCATCAAAATCAGATATTGTACGCGTGCTCCTAAGTATTAATATTACGTTGTTGTAATTTTTTGTAAATATAATTGATGATTAATTATACTTAATAGTATATTAAATGAAAACAAAATTCATTGGAGTTTTATTATTTGTATTTATTATTATGATTATATCTTGAAAACTAAAAAATTTAAATATTTTAAAGGAGTTGCATTATATATGCTAAATGAGTGGAAATACAACACCAACAGTTTTTCATAGTGTTAAATATTCATGCATTTTTCATGAACACATTATAAAACTAAAGGTATTATTCGAATAAACTTGAATATTTTTGAATTTCCGATAGAACGAAGTTATAGGTATAGTTTATGGAGAAATGTATTCGTGAAAATAAATCACGAACGTGTCTTCAAGTCACGGTAAATTATACACGCCTTAAAAAAATTTATCTGAAAGAAATTTAAGCTTACTAAACCGCAAAAAAATCAAACTAACACGAGTTACTGGCAAGTAGTAATTGAATGTATAGAGGTCGCTTTTGGACTTACTCAACCCTATTCTAGTTTTAGAGAACTTCTTATTTTCAGTTGGATGCGTAGTAAAATCAAAATGAGCAAGGCAATGTTTGACTTATGAGACAACTATGAAGGATGTTAAGCAATATTAATACTCACAATATGCTCGGCTGACACTTCATCGAGAATGTCGAAGAGCCGTTGTTATCTTAGAGGATAAAAGAGTAACATCGAAATATAAGGTATGGACGAGGCGCAAGACACAAATATTTGATGCATTAAGAGAGGCACAAAGTATGAGATGCAGACAAAGTGCGAAACGCAAGTACTTGAGTTCGATAGTAGTTGGAGAGGAAAGAGATAGGTAAAAGCGTCTAGAATGGATAAACAAACTCTCAATGTGAACTTGAAAGCCAAACACAGCAATATCCGAGTGCTGGCACTAATGTCTCACTACAGTTCATAAGGTGCGTGCCGGAGTAGATTGACCTCGATGATCAGGACCAGTGATTTTAAGTATTTATTGTTCTATTGCTTCTTTTATTTAATTGCCAAATCATCAGTCGCCAGTGATGGATGTGCTGTCTGAATTTATTTTATTTTTTTAACAATATTGATGACGTGAAATCATCAATAAATTTGTAAAGAGAAGTACGACTTAAGAACTCAGTTTCTTTCTTAATACAAGTAATTATTAATTCAAATTATATAATTTTTAAAAGCTTATAAAGTTTTTTAATTTGAGCTTTGTTAAAAAATTACCTTATTTATTACACAATTACTTATATATTATAACGCGCAAGATAATATGAAAAATTAAGTGTATTAATTATTAAGTGTAAATATATAGCTAAAAATGTCTGAATTTTATTATAGATGTGTAATAATAATTTATAAACAACACATTAATATGGAAATCTATGAATTGATAAGAGAAAGCCTTTTTAACTACTCAAGGAATATACTTGTGAAAAGTGAGTTATTAAACTATTTTTACACAATTATTTGATTATACTCAAAAAAATCTTAAAAAACGTAATTCTATTTGAAAAAATTACCAATGTTAAAAATTAAATTAACGAAGAAAATATTAACAGAAATCTAACATAGTTTAGTATAAGAAAAAAAAGGAAACATAAAATAAATGTAAATAAACTAATGATTAATTATACATTATCTTTGGTTAAAATATCAATGAAAATTAACTTTTTAAAAATCAGACTTACGAGTTCTTGTGAATATACATACATGCGTATTTTATTATTATCTTTATTTAGATTTATTTTCTAAGCCACTTTTCTAATAATATCTTGATTTATAACAAACTTAGATCATTAAAAATAAAAAAATGTATTTATATATTAAAATACTGTGATATAAGTAAAATATCACGATGCTGATAAGGTTTTCTTAGAATCAAAAATAAAATTGTTGACTCCAAATAATTTAATATTTATTGCTGTGAAAATTCATAGGCTACAACAAGGCCTCCTCACAATAATGCCTATTTTACTGTCAATAATACTTGACATTTTTTTAACGATAAATATTAAAGAAATTTCTATACAAACATTGTAATGGTAGTATTGTCTACTAAAATAATTGTAATGCAAGGTAATGTAATAGTATGTATTTGTGAAAAAAATAATATACCCACAAAACTACTGTAAAGCAAATAGTTGTCATGGATAACACCAACATTTTTGATGATATCAATTGATTTTGGGTTGTCAGTAGCAATGTTTTCCATTTTATTTGTTATGATTTACTTTTATCCAATGGCACATTAATATTACTCATAATTTACTATGGACACAATCAAATATAATTCACAAAAAAGCGTATGATCATTATCGTCAGTCGTAGTCAAAAAATGGAGTCAAGTTTTAAAAACACCAACATTGAGTGGTTACGGGTCTTGATTTTGTTGTATAAAAATGTTGGTGCCGCGCCCGATTACCCCTTAAAAGGGTCATGAAAATGTATTTTCCGAGGGCGTACTCGGAAAACTCCACCCTCCGGTCTCTCATACCCTCAGTTAATCTCACCACCACGTCCGCTTCCGTCAGGCCTAGCCATATGATTGATGGACACGTGGGTTTCTCTTACAACCCCGTACAACTTCCCCTCGCTACGTTTTATCCTTTATACAATACAACACCTTTTCCTTACGTTACAATTTCTTCTCTTTTTTTCCGCAGTCCACTGAATTCACTCTTTCTCGTACATAAAAACTCTTGTGGGTTCGTTGACTCGCATAACGATATCAATACACACATGTATGTGTACATATATGATATCAAGTGTGTGTACAAATACAATCAAATATTGCTAGGGGATTTCCGCAGGCGTCGAAAGCATAAGTTAAAAGTTTTGAAGAAGCACAGCGCAGACCGGGGCGTCCTCGGATCAATAATTTCAGTGTGTACTTCCCGTAAACTTGTGGAAACTAAAAGAAAATACACGAAATACAAACAAAAAATACTCGACCGTGTAGCGGGTGCACTCGTAATATCGTTAGCCTAGTGCACATGCCTCATATTTTTAATAGTGATTTATTGTTCAAAATTATTTCCAAAACACGTGTATACAATTAAAATAATTTTTTATTTTAATTTCGTAGTTGAAATAGTTTTTTGAGAGTAATATATTCTAAAGTTGACTTTATAAGTTTTTTGGTACGTGAAATTTATTAAGACCTTGAAAACAATAGTACATAATTTATTATAACTAGCTGTAACTTTTGTGTATATGTTTTTATAATACTAACTAGGCTAGAAACAAACACGTACTGAGTATTTCTTTTTTGTACCGGAAAATGATTAAATGTTACACTACAATATCACATTATGTGTGCTACGATATACTGATGGGTCAGTTTTTGTTAGAGATTTACACATATTGTACATTACTAAAATCAAATATGCTTAACAATTGTTTTCAACACGAAATAAATACGTTTTTTACCCACATTAGATTAGAATAATTGAATTAAATTATATCGAGTTAAAGATATGTGTATTATATAGAAATGCATAAGTTATATAGGAATATACTAATAATTTGTATTTTAGTATTCTGTTGTTTATTTATAAGGAGTTACAAAGTAATAATACAATATACGCGTAAAATATATTTTCTTCGATCGCAATGTATGAATTAAACATAAACAATAGTTAATTAAGACACAAAATCACGTTTATAGATGAATGTATTTTTATAATTTATTAAGAGTTACTATAATTATAAATAAAAATAAAATATTTATCCATTTAATAGTTACTTCAACACATTTTGCTTCTTAAATAACTAGGTTTTATCTCAACTATATTGTGCAACTATAAAATTTTTATGTGATATTACTTACAATATTTTACAAATTATTTACCACGTTAAGAATTTAAATAACTATACACTGAATCATCATATTTTTTTAAACCAACTATTATATAAAATAATTTTGATAACACATTATGTTACTTTTTATCAACAATACTTAATTTTATTTTATTGGCGTTTCCAAAGTAGAGTGATCTGTGTTAAAGTAAATATTAAGTCTGATTCCTATTAACCATTATAAAAGGACTAAATAAATGTGTATTGATTGCGTGCTATTGTCACCATTTGCAAAGAGTAAAAATTGTTATTGTTCACTGGAAAATGACACGTTTGCAATGATGCGCATTTTGATATCTTATAAACTAGTGGTTTTTATGCTTAAGTTATAAGAAATAAAAATTAATATCCTACCTAGTTTATTGTATCAACACAATTTGATAACAGTATATCATTATTTTATTATTGTTATCATAAAAATTAAAAACGTGACAACGCAATATAAATTTTCAATCATCAATCATTACTCCGTATACCGAATAATGTACATTTTATTTTTTTCAATAATACTTAAAATAAAAAAATCTGCAAGTTTCACAAGATAATTATAGGAAATTGGTAATTAAATAAATTTAGGTTTGAAGACTATACGAATAAATGACAGCTTTTAGTATCGGTTTTTTCTTAAGTGCTGCATGCCATTCGCCTGTGTTCCCCTAAAATAATATTTTTAAATATTTCACTAACATTAACGAACTGTATATTTTAAAGGTTTTATGATGTTGGTTTTATTTTCTGGTAGGATTAATGATGTTGTATTTTCAAAAACGCCGACAGGCGCGGCATTTTAGTGACTGTGGTGGTCATATCGCGTCGCTTCGACATTGAATTTAATTTAGACATGTTTAATTTGTAACCGGATCTGACCGCAACTAGAAAATCAAAAATTTTTTATTTCTTTATTAAATTTAGGTAAAAATGTTAAGAAAAAGAGTTTTTTTTTTTCATTATAACTTTATACTTCATTTACCATCTCAAAAGTTTTCCAATGGATACGAAACAATTTTTTTTTTTTTATGTGTAACACTTTTATATATTAAAAATATCAAATAATTTTATCTGTAATATAATATTATAAAATAAAAAATAAAACCTATCGAGAAAAACAGAATTTTTCTACGTTGTACACTCCTATGGTTGAAAATTATATAGGTCAAATGAAATGTATTTTCAGAAAATTGTTAATTATGTATTGTGTGTATAATATGAAGCTACAAAATTTTAAATGTGTTACTTATTTCGATTCTTTAAATTCATAAAAATATGATGATTAATTTAATTTACTAATCTATTTGTGTGTTTTATTTGTTCGAATTAATTGTAGTACTTTACATTCGTTATTATAATTTGATTTTAATTAATAAATGCAGATGGACAGGAGGTGTAAAAATTATCGTGACTAGAGTGTAAAATTCTCAATTAATAAAATTAAGTAAAAGTAATTTAGGGTAATATCACCAGTGAACACTGCCAGTAAACAAAAACATCACTTGGTTTTCAAATAAAAAATTGTCTAATGTGATAGTGACAAGTTGTAATTAGAAGTATACATAACAAAGAAAATTAAGTTTAACTGTGGAATATCACAATTTTTCATATGTCATTAATTGGAAAACTCCAATTGTCACCATAAAATAATATATTCGAGCTATTATGACAGTTAATTATAAATATTTTTATATCATAATAGAGAATTTTCTAGACAACGAACATTTATAAACTCAATGCGCGCGACATTAAAATATATAAATCGATAAAGAACTTTAAAATATGAAAATGTCCAACCCAACTTTTATTGATATTTTGGTGTAATGCGTAAGATCGAAAAATAATAAAGTACAAATTATAAAAATGATCGACTCCTCAAGTTTGCACCGACGGCAAAACAAAAAGTCCGCTATTTTTAAGTGTTGATATAAAATTTAAAAAAAAAAACACTATTGCCAAACAAAAAAAATAATTTTTGATTTGTTGATATTTCGTTAAAATTTATTGCGCATTACCGTGTGAAATCTAAAAAACTGACATGACTCAAACGCCATAAAATATGCATCCAACAGCCGAACGACATTGCATAACCGCCGCGGAATCACAGTGAGCTGTAACTGTAACTGGGCACCTTTGATATAAGCCGAACCATAAAACAGGCCATATATTTGTTTATTATTTCTCCTGTTATGGCTGTCATAATACCTGCGGGTGTTTTTTTTCGCCGTCCAACGGCTACTGCACGAGACCGCCGCCAGTACGCGCCTTATGACACCAAGTGTATTACTATACTTATCGTTTATTCAATCTACTCTCACGTGCGTCCGCTAACCTTTACACAACAACATCTCCCGTGTAATCCGAACATCATAAAATTTAATAACAGTATATAAATATATATAAATGATGAATGTATATTGTTTAATTGTGCAGCGCAATTTTTATTACGCGCCACAGTAATCGTCACGAACTTTATGCCATTCCAACTCATTCAACTGCACTGGACAAAGCACGATACATGATGAAATCGGATGCGTTTTTTACTAGAGTCCGAACTTTTTCGTAGCATTAAAATTGTCCATTAAAAATT